CTTTATTTAACTTGTGGCCATGTTTTTTATCTCATGCACATATGTTATTTTCATGGCCACACATTATTTAACTAATGGCCATTCGTTATTTACCTTATGGCCACATAATAGTTATCTAATGCCATGCATTATTTATCCTGTGGCCATGTGCCATCTTGCGGTCACTTTATCTTGTGGCCACATTTTTTTATCTCGTGCCCATGTGTTATTTATCTCATGGCCATTCATTATTTATCCAATGGCCGTTCATTCTTTATCTTGTAGCCACATAATATTTATCTCATGGCTATGTGTTATTTTTCCTATGGCCACACATATTTATCTCGTAGCCACACGTTATTCATTTCATGGCCATGTATTTAACTTGTAGCCACACATTTTTTTTTATCTCATGCTATGTTATTTATTATCTCATGGCCATGTATTTATCTCGTGGCAACAATATAGTGATGCATGGCCAAGAGATTATTTTTCAGGCACTGTATTAAACAGCTGGGAGTTCAGACAAAGATATAAGAATGTAGACATTTTTTTATTTTCTTTATACTCATGACCACAAAAAAAACACCTGAATGGTCTTTTTCTTGTAACATCTCTTCTTCATGCTTCTATGATTCTTGTTTGCTTTGAAGTTAAAAAGCAAAAACATCAGTTACTCACCACACTTTGTGTGTCCAACACAAAATGAATGATGCAAATATTTAAGATTTATTTTATAAGTCCCAAAAAAAAGCGTACCTTCTTTTAAACACACACATGCTGACACCTTGTATAGTCATATTTTATTCCACAGGATCTGGTTTTTTTCTCCCACACTCACAAAATGATGCCTGCAAGCAGACACACACTCACATATGCACACTCATGCTTTAGTATGCACACAGAATCAGCAATACACACTCAAACACAGATGTTTTTACATCTCTCACAGCCAGTTTTACCCCCCACCCCACACACACACACACACTCAWGCATATCACATGCTGCTCTCATATTACAGTGGAACTGACCAGGCATTTATATCACAGTTAGAGCTGCGTGCACTTAGTTGACAGATTCAGAAGCAGGATTTTAAAACTGCTGCTTTCATGAAAATGTGGTTCAGTTTTGGAGAGGAAAGATGTTTTTGTGATAAATATCTTTCTTTCCAAGAAAACATCACAATCTTTATATATTTGTTCTCATTCTATGAGGTGGTTTTATTTAATTCCCATAACGACYCTGTACCGTTTGTCCTTTCTCTTTGCTCTCCTCTCATTTGATCATATCCTGTTCCTTCATAACACTTTTTTATTTCCATCACATTTTTCTCTGTCAAACAGGAAGTGCTGCCAGACAGGAAGAGAGTGACGACCAGGAGCTATCTCCCCATCACTCCAGTCGACACTGACAGTGGCAGCAATTTCACCTGTGTGGCCAGCAATCTAGCAGTCCCGATGGGCAAACGAGTCACTGTCACTCTCAACGTCCACCGTACGTTACCTCCCTTCTCTGTCAGATTGTTCAGATTGATGGGAGATTGTAAGGAGTCGAGCAGGTTTCACAGGAGACACATAAAATATTGTACGCATAGAATATAAAGTAGCTATTTTCAACAGTCCTAAATTAAAATTGTTTCAATTTCTGTTACCTGCCAGTCGTGTTTTGGCTCCAATTTTGAAGCCAATTATCTACCAACTGCAGAGCAGTTTCATTTCCCCCAACAAGAACGAAACCATTTTTCTGTGTTCAGAAGCTATAAAGAAAATATATTTCTGCTTGAGAAAATTAATTTGATTGTAGTCAAAGAGACGCTTGTACTTATTTATTTAATTTTTTGTAAAATAAATGTATAGGCTTTTTGAGCAACCAGGGATTCCCTCTGTCTTTTTTTTTTGAAGGGGCAATATTATGTGTTTCTCAGGCATACATTTAAATACTATACCATAATAAAGTATCTATGTCACCTTTAGTTGTTATTAAAATGCCGTTTTATGTTTAAATAGAAAATAAACTTATCTTCTCTTCACTTCCTCTTCTAAATGCCTTGAAATTGGCCTCTGTCCATGTTCTTATACCTTGTGTTGACACAAAACGTTATGTGTCAACACAAGGTATGAGAACATGGACAAAGGCTCAACAACATATTTTTGGCACAAATGGAACTCCATACATGAACTGACTCAGAGACGAGTCCAACCTGTAACAAGAACTTGAATTATTCAGAAGAATTATAAAGAGAGGAAAGAGTTTCTTTGATAGAGCTACAGAAAAGACATCATGCATTCATTTCATCACTTTCTGTCCAAACCTGTGTTTTCCTGTGCAGACCCCCCAACGGTGACCCTTTCCATCGAACCCCGCTCTGTCCTGGAGGGAGAAAGAGTCACGTTCACCTGCCAGGCTACCGCCAACCCTCCCATCATGGGCTTCAGGTCTGATTAACGACGACTCGCATGTTTGCTAATATGTAAAGAGACGCGTGTCCCCCGAGGACAAGCTGAAGTGAGAGGCAGTAATTGACGTGTTGATCAAGCCTGTTTCAGAGAATATTTACACTCCACCACAGTGATACGATGCAATGAAGACCCCCGCCCTTCACTGTCAGTAACTGTAAAGCGTTCTTACACAAAAAAAATATTTTCAGTTCTTTTCTTTCAAAACTGGTTTGGATTTTTGATGAGATAAAATGTGAATGAAACAGTTCTTTTTTTCTTCTCTTAGAAAATAAATCCCATCAGAACCAACGCATCGTGGCCTAAAAGTGTAAACGGGCTCGCACTTTTCAGTGTAGTTGGGGATGTGAGGATTTTTTTTTTTTTAGCTGCTCCTGCAGTGCAACATTAGCAGCCTGATCAGATGATCGATGCCGATGGGTTTTCCTTTCATCTGCTCCTTTCTGGCTCCGTGCACTCGCCGGAGTTGCTCCTGAATTGTAAATTTCTGCTTAGAGAACAAAATTGGGCAAAGTATTGAACATTTGCACAGTCAAACACTGACTTTTATTGTAAGCGACATCTCTGAAGCACTRAAACTGCAGAAAAGGCTGGAGGTTTGGAACTCCATCAGAGAGGGTCCTAATGTGGGACCGCTGCCAGGTACTTAGGCACTAAGCCTATTGAGTGTGCATTAAAATGTCATCTAATGGAGACTGTGCAATATGGTGATATGATTTTCAGCTAGATATTTGGCATGGTACTTTATGGTTAACAGAAATTGTTGTAATTTATTACAAAGTTTCCCTTTGGGTTTCAGAATGGAGGCATTTTAAAAACCATAAATTTACAGATAACTTCTTGTTTAATAGTGTAAATGTGACATTTGGATCTTCCCGCGAACACGTCTTTTACTGTGTAAATCTGCGGCTGACAGGCAGACACGGCCATGATTTGTTTGTGTTTGAAAGCATGTTAAAGGGCGCTGTGATGTGTTTGTTCCCTGTCAGGTGGGCTAAAGGCGGCGTGTTGCTGGAGGGGGCCAGAGAGAGCGTGTTTGTCACCACTGCGGATCACTCGTTCTTCACCGAGCCCGTGTCGTGTCAGGTGTTCAACGCGGTGGGGAACACAAACGTCAGCATCCTGGTGGACGTGCACTGTGAGTACAAACAGCAACTAGTTTGAAATCATCCCCTAAAACATTTCCTCAATTTTACTTTCTTAGTACTATTATTACAGAGTTTATAGTCAGTTGATCATCAAGGTTCTTATTTTCTTAAACATCTTTTTTTGTTTTTAAGTTGGCCCGATTCTGGTGGTGGAGCCCAGACCGGTCACAGTGGACGTGGACTCCGACGTCACTCTAAACTGCAAGTGGGCTGGAAACCCTCCTCTTACCCTTACTTGGACCAAAAAAGGCTCCAGCATGGTGAGAATTAACCACTAAAAGTCATATTTTACTTTAACAGAACATGATTTAGTCTTAAAGGAGACATATGATGCTTTTAAATCATTTTTTTCCACATTCAGTTGGGGTCTAAATAAAGTGGAACTTCAAAGCTTTGGTCTAAATTGCTCCTTATTGTAACTCCACAAGCCCCGCCTCTTTTCTGAGGTGTGTTTCAGATCAACTCATTTGAGGCTGTCTCTTAAAATCCAAAGGAGGCGCTTCAAACCCCTCCCCCCTCCAACTTCCAGAATGGTCCATTCTAATTTGATAAAGGGGTTTACGACTATATAGCTGCGCAGAAACTTTTATTTAAAATTTAATTTAATATTATGTATTTTCCAGGCACATAGTTCAATGATATACCATAGTCAAATAACTGTTCTCTTCAGTTGTTATGAAAATGTTGTATATATCAAAAATAAATTTGATTTTGCATCATAGTTACCTTGAAATTGGCCTCTGCCTCTTTATGAACCTACCATTTCAGACACCCCCACTTCAGCACATTTTCAAATAATGCTTTGAGGTGGGGTTGATCTGTGGGGCTGGAGCTTGGCTGTGGGCTGAGCTCCAGAGAGGAGCTCAGCTGCGGTCTGGGCTCCAGGGAGGAGCTATGTACAAATAGGTGGAGCTATGTACTAGCAACCATTAAAGCAGCTTCACATGTCTACCACAGGAGTTTAAAGGATTTCTCAAACATGCATGAATGAGTCATATCAACACTGAGAGTTTTTGATGAGGGAATGAGATTATAACATGATTTAATGCTAAAAACAAGTTGATTTTGTGAAATACCTCCCTTTAAATGATGTCAACAAGGGAAAACGTGTCCAGTCTGATGCAGAATCAAAGGACAACAAATGAAAAAAAGTGGATTTTGCATATGTCTCCTTTTAAAAGTAGAATTTTTGTGTAAAAATTCATTTTTTCAGGTGGTTTTATCCAATTAAATTAAGCTTGACAGACTTCATAAACATTTGCTCACTATGGGTTGTGAATCTCTTAAATCTTTAATTTATGCCAAACCGTTTAAAAGAAATGCTGGAGGAAAAACTAACGGAGCCTGCTGAGTAAATCGACATGTTTTATGAATTAAACAGAAATTTCATTTCTTCCTTCCTCTTTTTCATCATCTTTTCCTTCCTAAACGTTTCTCTTTCCACGTCACAAACCCATCATCCTTTTCTTTCTGTACGTTTTCTGACTTGCATGTCCAGGTCCTCAGCAACAACAACCAGCTGCATTTGAAGTCGGTGAGCCAGGCCGATGCAGGACAGTACGTCTGCAAGGCCATCGTGCCTCGAATTGGAGTGGGAGAGACCGAAGTTACGCTCACAGTCAACGGTCAGTTCACATTCRCCTGCTTTCCTATTAATACAACTACTGACACTCAGAAATCTAAACTGGACCGAGCAGAATTCATTAAACGCTATAAAACTCTGAATATAAGGCAAACTGAAACATACGAATAATTAAACAAAGATCTCCATAATGTGTTGCTTGCTCTGATAGTATCAGTTTTCATGTACTTGCCTCTGCATTTAAGGTTTTAAAGACTTTCTAAAAATCTATTGACTTTCTTCAATAATGGGGAGTGGTTGATATATTTTATATTTTAGCAAAAAAGCAAAAATCGTAAAGATCCTGAATCATCCACTGTTGTCTAATTTCAATTTATTCTATATTTATAGCAAGAAATTGCCAGAAGGATGCCAATTGCTAATCATACGATGTTTGCTGACAGCTATTGCTGCTCCACTTTTTTTTTTTTAGTTTTTCTGTGCAACAGTAAGCTTGTGCAAAGTTTTTCTGCAGATGCAATGTCTTTTGCTGTCCTCGACCCGATTTGTAACAAAAAAAACAAGGATTTCTGGAGGATACATTTTGCATCATGTTGTCCTTTCTGTGCTCTTCACCAGTTGTCACTCCAGAGTCTCGTGCAGTTAAGAATTAATCGAACTGAATGTTATATAGTGGAAAAAATAAGAAAAGTTTGATAAAGTGCACACCTGATTCTCACCAGATGCTTCTGACAGTAGTTTARCTTTTGTTGATGATTAAAGCTCAAAAACTGCTCTAAATTTAATATTTTTGAGTTGAAAATCACCCTGAAAAAGCAGCAATAACATTTACTTTTAAAAATTATTTCACAAAGAGTTAGAGTTACAAGAAAGTGTTTCTTTATGTCTGCAAAAAAAAAAGAAACCACTCAGCAAAAAAATGAAATATAGTAAAATTTACTAGCACATCTCCACATTAAATCCAAAGCTTGGTGACTTATTGACCACTCAAGCATTTATTCACCAGTAAAACTCAGTTTAATGCTTACACAAATAAACCCTGTATATTTACTATCTGCTCCATTTTAACGACTGAGAGCCGTCATGGATCATCTTAGTAAAGCTAATTTATACGTTAGCAGAGTGAAGCCACTGGCTCAGCTAACAGTGTGTGACAGCATCTGTGTTCAAACTTCAGCCGACACTTGGTTAAACACGGTCCTGCTGGAGAACCTCTTTGGATTTATATCTCAGCATCCGATTTGTCCTGCTGGTTTCACAGCTGCCGCGCCGCTCGGTCGGACTGAATTCTGCTTTTTAATTACTCTCCTCGCAGCGGAGGAGTTACGTCCCCCCGTAACTTTTATTTAGCCTCGCCTCGTCACAAAATGGGGGAGTCTGTCACGCAGTCGACGCGTTAACGCTCCTTCATTCGATGTGACAGAGAGCGACAGCGTTACTGCAAGCACGTTTACTGTGACTTTGCTAAAAGCGTCAGAGGAAAAGCAGCAAATTACTGAGATTTCTCCCCCAAAAAAATGGCTTTTTGTTGACTTTACCATCAACAGTTTCCAATTAAGGTTTTTGACTCATTAGTAAAAAAAAATCTCAAATCTCATCTGTCATTTGTGACACCTYTAAGGTCTTTTGTTAACATTTAGCTTTTACTTCTGCTCATCCATTAAACCACTAATAGTGGAACTAATGTTTTGCTAAGCAGTTTAGCATTAGCATTAATTTTATAATGTTTTAACAGGCTTTATTTAATTTAAATATTTTTAGTAATTTCTCTACCACTAAAAATCATGAAACTTACATCACCTCATTCATACTAAAATAATTAAGCCTCAGTGTCATGCTTAGAAAAGCTATGTGAAGCATTCACAGGCCAGACTCACAAAGTGACGTCGTTCTCGATCTGAAGATGGATATTTGTGCCTTTGGAGTCTCCTCTTTAACCCCCAATTTACACTGAGTGTGGTTCTGCTCCGATCAACTTCGACCGCCGCAGTGAAAACAAAACCACAGAGGCGCAGAACACAGATTTGCCAAAATTACATTCAATCCTTTGCAGGAAAAGGAAAAAGCAAATCATCTGTATTTTCAAAATAATTCATCAAAATCATGTGAAATTTGTCGAAATCCCAGCTGTATTAATAAATATATGATATATTTTTACACAAAATAAGCTCTGTTTGGGAAGCGGATAGCAACATGTAGCGTGCAGCAGATGTGAATGCACACAATACATGTGGATTTTATTCTGAAATCAGTTTCAAAAAGACAACAGTGATGCACTTTCATCTGAGTCCGTCTTCCACAAAATGAGTTTATTTTCTCTGACTCCCACTTTTAACAGTGGATTTATCGTACGATCTCACACTCTCTGCGCACGCTTCTCTGAGCTCCTCTGTTTTGCACCGTGGCAGACGTGGTATGAATTGGGGTGGAAATGAAGGACTGCAAACTGCGAAACACAGCGAAGCAGAGTGGAACCGCATGTAGTGTAAATTGGGGGGTAAAATAGACCATATCTTCTGACTCACAGTTTGAGTTTTCAGGTTTCCCAGCATCCTTTGCAGCAGGGACGTCACAGACAACATTTTCTGAGTTTGTTGCAAACTAAAAAATAAAAAATAAAAACAAAAACACATCTTTGCTTTAATCTGAGGCATACAARTATTTGTTTTTGCTAATAATGTTTAAATCAGAGGAGCCCAAAGTGGGGCCAGCGGGCCAAATTTGGCCCACCAAGCCATTTGATTTGGTCCACCAGCAGTTGTATAGTTACAAGTTTGTAACCTGTCATACTATGTGGAAACACAGTATTTCCACTGAAAGTCATTTTATCATTGGTAAAATGAATATAGAYGCAGATACTATAAGAMTTTTTTTCTTCTTTCTGCCACCTTTCATTTTATTTGTGATTTGTATTTTTATTGTACATAATTTTTGTTAATATATAAGCGACTGTAGTGCAAATACTGTAGTTTTCATTGATGGTGCTGACTTTATCTTTGATATATTAATATTAAACATGAAACTTAATATACAAGTAACAAGAGATATTTAGATTAGATTTAACCACACATGTAGATTTGCCCACGTTATAAGACCACAAAAACTCATATTTTATCAATTTATGAAATGTCCCATGAGCCTTTGCTGCTTGAGCGTATGGCAGATTTCACTAAAAACCAAAGTGGGCCATTGCACTGGCTGAAAGATTAATCATTAAAAATAAAGTACTTTATTTAAAAAGTATTTGTATTTCATGTATTCTATTACTACATTTGGCCCGCAGCCCCGGATAGATGATRATTTTGGCCCACTTGGGGAAAAAGTTTGGGCACCTCTGGTTTAAATAATAACTACATTAGCAGAAACACAATTTTGAAGACTGGTTTCAGCAGCTGTAGCTCCGCCTCCTGGTTTAACAGAAACWAACTATTTTCTCTAATTTCACCTCTAWAAGAGAAACGTTCTTATCTGTGATGTATAAAKCATTTTGAGTTGTGTTGACTTACAATTAGGTTTGGTTTGATATTTGTGTTGAAAKTGAGTTTTTGACTGTAAATCTGACAAACCATGTTTAAGAGGATGCAGGGGGATAGAGAGGGGAACTGAACACTGTAGGGGTGTTGATATGATTAATATTAGCAGTTTAGATTTAGCTTCCCTTAAATGTATATTTATTTAGGCTCTTTTTAGTGGAACTAAGGAAATTGTGAAGCAGTTTAGGTGGAGCAGGAACTGTTGTAAAACCCCACTGTGTCATCTGAAGTATGGGTTAGTAATCCTGTCTCTGCCTTGTCCCGTCTGCTCCTCAGGRCCCCCCATCATCTCCAGTGATCCAGTTCAGTACGCCGTCAGAGGTGAAAGAGGGGAGATCAAGTGTTACATCGCCAGCACCCCCCCGCCTGATAAGATTGTAAGTCCATCCTGGGAGGCTGTAATCTGCTGCAGAGTCGTCTGACCTTTWCAGATTGCATCTTCCTCACGGGGAGTCCCGATCGCAGCTCCTCGTCCGTCCGTCTGGAAAACACTTTCTSTCCTTAGCTCGTGTCATCCGGGGCTAAAAGACGGGCTTTGTTCTCCAGATATGTGAGAACAAGCTGTTCCTCGGCTGCGGTGGAAGGTGTGACTCATGAAAACAGCTGCCGTAGTGTCTGTTTGAAACCGGAGACGAGACGCGCTGAGCTCAAAATCCTGTGAGACTCCGAGATCAGAGCAGCTGATAAATCCTAAATAAAATTACAGATCACAGCTTTTATTGCTGCTAAAACCTTTCAGGGCTGGATTATTTACTTTAATTAACACCGGATGACGAACGAGGGCAGCTGATATAAAAATATATATATTTCAGCTAGACATTTTTTTTGTCAACATCAAATCTCGATTTAAAATTACATCTAAAATCCTGCAAGAAAGTTTGTAAAAAGACCATGAGGGATGTCACTTGGAGTCCTCCTTAGATAAGGCAGTGGGAAGTATGGGTGCAATGGTTGCTGAAGCACCTCTTAATGGATGACAGTAGCTGCTGAAAATGCGCAAATTAGAATTTCGAAAATAAATCTGCTCAATGGAAACACGTCAATTTCGAAAAAATATTACGTTTTTCGACAAAATGTTTTTGCGCTAAGATGAGGTGGTATTTCGGCCGTATCGAAATTGGTGTTTTTGCAAAACTGCAACTGTGTTTTTTCGACATTAACAGAATATCGACAAAGTTTTGCGCACATTTGCAGTGGAAACACAGCTAGTGGACTTGCACAAAAAAAATGAATGAAAAATAAAAGTTTTGATCATGAACAAATTTAATTAATGCTATAATTATCCCCAATTAACATGCTGAGAATGGAAATCCAGTTGTTTTGTTAACCTTTTTTAGTGATGCATAATTAACCCTAAATTTTCACACGTAATTTTGCTATAAATGTTTATATCAACCTAATTAGTGAGCACTAATAAACAAATTAAAAGCTACAGTTCAAATGCTTTAAATAATAACAGCAATGATAAATGATTTACWTGATATAATTGTTTGTAGCACTGAGTTACCGCAGCGCTCGTACTGCAGCTAATAAAGCAACATAAAACCTATTAAAAGCAGTGCATCAGTATGAAGCRTTTTAAATCTGAAGAGGATTGTTCCAGTAAAAACCAAGATCAGAAAAGTCAAACAAAAGCAGAGTAAGCTCTAACAAAAGGATGATTTAAGAAGAGATTTGAAGGAGGTCAGAGGCTCGGCTGGGCTGATGTCCTCAGCCAGGCCGTTCTGCGATTTAGAAGCGTTGACTGTAAACGCTCTTTCACCTCTCATCTTTAGCCGAGACTCCGGAGCGAAATAAAGTTCTTTGCCCAAGGACCGCAGCCTCCGTGCGGACTCACAGGGTCAGGGAAAGGTCAGGTAGACGAGGTGAGAAGCCACAGAGAGCCACAAAAGTCACAAGATCTTAAAATCAGTTCTTAAACAAACCGTTGTAAAGAAGCAACATGGGAGGGAATGTTGGCTCATTTTATTTATTTATTTATTTATTTTTTAGTTTTTATTAAAAGTCTGCAAAGAATGAAGCTAACAAAGCTTTAATAGTCTCTGACCCGGGAGGAATTTTCTCTTCTTTTTAGAGTTCACTTCAGTTGGGTTTTAAATATTTAAAAGTTGTTGTTGTTTTTTTTTTTTTCAAACAGACAACCGTCAAAACAATACAACTGTATAAACTCCAAGCAAGAACATGATCTGTGGCAGGATGTGGTATTTAAAAAAAAATACAAGTTTCATTAAGTGCGTGTCCAAAACTTTCAGAAACCAAACATACCAGAATTTTGTTTTTGTTTTTATAATCACAACAAAATCAATTTGTATGCAAATATATGCTCAATACAACTAATACAAAAAGTAAAACATGTTAGCTCTTTCTAGCCTGTTGTTTACTTAACTAATCCATTTGCTTTCTATGATCTTTCTCTCAAATCCTTCAAAATTACCTTTAAAGAAGTTGAAGACTACAAAATTCAAGAATTAGGAAAAAAAAGTCTGAATTGTTCAGTAGTACTAGTTTTTGTGAAATTTGGTATAAATTATATAGTATTTTTGCTCTGTATTTGTCCTGATGCGTAAAAATAATTAATAGATTTCACAACATATTTTTTAGTTTTCTAATCTCTCCTCCACTGGCCTTAAAGGTTCCCAAAAATGCCTCGAAAAGGCCCATGGACCACCAGTTGGTAATCACGGTTGTAGCTTGTTTTGTGGCTCTGGGCACATTTTATTAGTGAACCAAGGAGCAGAAATGGCTCTTTTGACCATAAAGGTTACAGACCCCTGAGTTGGGGTCTATATAAAGTGGAACTGCAATGATTTGGTCTAAATTCCTCCTTATTGTAACTCCACAAGCCCCGCCTCTTTTCTGAGGTGTGTCTCAGATCAACTCGTTTTGAGGCTGTCTCTTTAAATTCAAATGAGTGGCTTTATACCCCGCCTCACTCCAGCTCCCCGACAAGTCTATTCTAGTATGAAAGAGGGGTTTATGACTAGATAGTGGCATGGAAACTTTTTTATGTACAAATAATTAATTACGTATTTATTAAATGAAATAGTTCAGAAAATGTCATAGAAAATAGAGAAAAACTGAATGGGTTGAAAAATATGACACAAACAGATCATAAAGACATATATGCAGCACCACAAGAGACTAATTTTAACTTTTCTGCCTCCTAGAGACTTGAAATACACAACAAAATGTGTAAAGTGGATTTTGCATGATATGTCCCCTTTAAGAGCGACATCTCATGAACCCACATAAGATTGCTCATATTTGCATTTTCAAGGTTTAACCAAAAAGTCTAATCTTGGTTTAAAACTCTGGCATGAAAGATAGTGGGCAATATGCATTCTAGACATTTAATTTATTGACTTTTTCTCGTCTGCTCGTATAAAAAGGTTGCAACAAATAAATGAAACCATGAATGTAAACTCTGAAAAACAGCAGATTGTATAAAGTGTTTTAATAC